GCAGTGGCTGGAGCAATCCAATGTAGGAGGAGGAAGATCATCAATATATGAGATTCAGAAGTGGCGATATGTGGTATGGGTGACATCCGAAGAACTAATTCCGCTGCCTAAAGGGACGCAATAGAAAACCTATATCGCACGGCCCACATGTCATTCCACAAACAGAAACAATTTACTGGCAATATAACATCAAAGTACTGATCTATTTATCAACTACACAGTACTATTTATGTTACACTGCATTTCTCCCGATCCCGAATTACTGTGCAGCTTCTGAAGACAAGGCTGTGGCATCAAGGCATACGCTGGCTGAAAGAAACCACTTAATCAATTAATCAATGACTGGGGAGCTCTCAGGTGATGAGGAAATCCCCTACCGCCACTATGGTACATGTCTTGAAGTCTAACCCATGTTCTGGGGAAGAACTATGTCTACAGCATAGATGCTGAGATGAAACTTTGGCTTATGTAAGAACATGTTTTTTTATACCACTCTGATGTAAGTAAATCTAAATCAACCAATGTCTACAGACAGAAACCATGTGGCATACCATGAAGCCAATTATCTAACCAAACTCTTGATGGAATACAGAATACCAAGAACAACGCCTGGGGCATAATCCTGGCATGTATGAGTGATATAGGGCCCAATATAGGCTGCATGTAAGCACCATATAGGGCCAATAAGGGTGGAGCCTGTAGACTCAGGTACTCAAATTCTGGCATGTACACATTATATAGGGGCCAATATAGGCTGCATGTAAGCACCATATAGGGCCAATAAGGGTGGAGCCTGTAGACTCAGGTACTCAAATTCTGGCATGTACACATTATATAGGGGCCAATATAGGTGGAGCCTGTAGACTCAGGTACTCAAATTCTGGCATGTACACATTATATAGGGGCCAATATACGGTGGAGCCTACAGACGTATGAGCATGAGGTATAGCAGAGACCATATAATATTATAATGACAAATTACAAATTGATAATGAGTTGTACTGTCTGACCGAATCTGGAACACACATCGAACTTGTGAAAACTCTCTACATGCCTAAAGGCAACAGATGTTCCAGTAGTAAATAGGGGTGTGGCCAAGACCCATGTTTACCTGTGTCCAATCTATGGAAAATTGTCTATTGCAATATCGAAGGACTGATCAATAAGTTTAAACAGGAAACATACAAGTCATTTGTAAGCCAATTTGATGTTATTTCCCTGAAACCTGGACCAGCAGGTGGTAACTCCTGGCATGTAAGGCATGTATGCATGATATTGGGCAAAAATAAGGGTTAGTTTGAAGGATTCCAAGCTAATCAGATGGTCATTCTCTGACCATGTGGACACATACCACCCATGTTCGCTGGTTTGGCCATTCTCAGCTTGTGTACCTCACTACCCATGTATCACCTGAGTAAACGAACTGGGCCATTCTAAGTATAGCACCAACACAACCAGAATGGACTTGTTGGCCCAATAAACTACGCATCCATACATAACAGATTTAAACTTGTTGGGGCATTCCAGGCATGTACAAGTATGTACAAATTATGCCTGCAGTCTGGACCATTGTTTGAAAGTCAGCAATGAACACGAGAATCGGTTCCTTGCCACCCCCTGCTATGCAGACCAGCAACATTCCACTGCTATGGATTACAAGCCAATACTGAGTAGCTGATCAAGCCAAAGCATTCGGTGTTGAGTTAGGTTACTATGTAAACTAAACCTGATGAACTTGCCAAGAAAAAGCTGATGTTGATGGTGATAGTGACAGAATGTGTATGTACATTACTTATCTATCACAACAAGCAGCACTTAAAGAGTGAGCTGATCAGTCAAGCAGAACCACACTTAATGCAGTCAAACTTTAAACTGAAAGCCAAATGGAAAATACAGGCTGAGAATTAAACAACTTCCTGAAATTCCAACAACTTGAAAAGAATGTGCTAAACGGTTAAACAGTAACGTTTATTGAAGGATCAATATCAGCTGACATGGAGATAACATTAAAAAACATCATTATTATGTTAGATTAATTGTAACCTGAATTTTTAATTGAGAATTTTGACATTTTCAAAAACAATTCAATTTGTAGTTTAACATTGGTAAAAAAATGTTATCTATCACAATAACTTATTTCCAGTGTTATATTTCATGTTTGTAGATTGTAAATATTGTCATCGTTATGAGCATGTCCATTACCACAGAAATATCACTGCCGTTTCTGTCATACTAATCACAGAATGTATTTGAAAATCTCTGACATTTCATTGGTATGATGATAACGATCTCATACAATGCAATTGACTTGACTTCATGGGCAGTAGAAAATCCATGTGGCGGTTCCTATTGCAAGGTCTTCAGACAGACATTCATTAAACATAGATATACATAATGTGTCTGTTGTTAAACACATGACCATTCTGCAAATTTCAATAAATATACTATCAATGAACAAATGTATAATGAACAAAAACAAGTTTGTTAAAACTTGGAGTAGATTCGTCTAGGTTCTACATTCCCTTCATAGGACAATAAAACGTGGAGTGATCACCGGGTTCAACTAAGTTCAACAACTAACACTACCTAACAACCAATGAAACAGTCCGAACTACCGCCAATTACCCACACTGTAACGTTAGCCCTTTGGCCCCTCCATTATTGATATGGGACGATCTGCGAAAGGATCCTGGTCTTAGTCTCCATCGCTTTTTGAAGACATGATGAAGATAAGACACTCGCATCCAATAATCAGACAGCTTCATCAAGAAACAAATACTCGTTGTAGGGATTACAACACTCGTTTATTCATCATTAATTGTCCTGTAACAGTTTCTGCTGATAGTACGACACGTCCCCCTTGCAGGAAGAACACAAGTAATTACTGATAAAGCTGCTGGTTTTGTTGCCAGACTTTTTATCCCTGGGTTTAGACACACTGACAATTTTATCCTAAATGTCATCGTGTGGAAGTGTGCAAGGGGTGATCTGATAGGGGAAAATGGCTATTAGTCAAAACCATTTAAACAAATGTCTGTGCTGGGTCTGATGTGTTTTTCAGGAATGTCTTAAAATAACCTGACACTTTTAATAGATGTCCTTTTATTAATTTTAATGCTATAAATATAATCTATTGTTCGGGTGAAGTTCTTCTGTCGACTTCATTTAATCAAATGCTCTGAAAGTTTTCTTGATTTGGGGAGATCAATCATGATTGTGCCATATTCTCTATGTTATAGGACAGGCCAGCTCTTAAGCATGGACATATTTGTGGGTAGGATGATATTGCTTGGAAAACTAGAGATAGAAGCTGCATCAGACACATTAAAACAAAAGTAATATGTATAACCTACCACAGCCACTTTCAGACATGTTGCAATGACCATTATTATATAGACCATATTTATTGTATGCACTTAGATCATGCTTAATACACATGTATTGTACTTTACTTAGACCGCTCTTGTACAATATATTGTAGACAATTTAGGTTACAATTTCATATGCATTGTGCACAAAATAAACACCTATTTCGAAATTACATCACTTGGACCACTATTCAACATTTATTGTATATTATTCAGACATTCTTGCACATGTATTGCACACTGTTTATACCACTTTTCTTCATTTATTGCACACTATTTAGATCACTCTTGTACATGTATTGCACACTATTTAGATCACTCTTGCATATTTATTGCACCCTAGTTAGACCACTCTTGCATATTCTTTGTACACTATTTATACCACTCTTCATTGTATACCATTTAAACCACACATGTAGTGCACACTATTTATACCACTCTTGCACATGTATTGCACACTATTCATACCACTCTTCTTCGTTTATTGTAAACTATTTAGAGCACTCTTGCATATTTACTGCACACTATTTATACCACTCTTCTACATTTATTGCACACAACATGTACAAAAATACTGTATATCACTCAGACCATTTTCTATCAAAAAACAATTACATTTGTACTCATAGCATACCCTCAGACACAATTAAATAAAAATAGAAAAGCTATCTCCTGGAGGAGCTACAACCACATAAAGCTGAAACCCCTAATCCATACACAACATGTATATGGAATTGCAGTTCCTAATACATGCATTGATTAGACAAACATCCATAATACCACATACCTAGAACAGCATTGGGTGTCCATCAGTTTCTACACAACATTGATTAGTCAACTGTGTCGTAATTAACTGTACATTCTCAACTCAGTCGTGTGACAATGCCTTATAAATGAGGGGAGGAGGACCACCCCAGCCATTAGAGGCATGTACTGATGTTGGAGTACACCGAGCCTGTGACAAAAGCTGTCATCATAGCTAGTGCTAATGAACTGTCCTTCGTAAACCTGTTACAAAAGATAATTAACAATTAATACAAGTCATGTACTAAACTTAACCACCCCACTGATCGCTTATCTGAAATGTGTCTTAATAAGTAAGTTGACAGTGCTTCAAACTACAACATCCTCACTACCTGTGCACTCATTAACTCGGGATATGTCGCTTGGTCTGTCACGGGGAAAAAATGGTATTAAGTTCACATTTATCTGTAAACCAATAATGACATTAGGTGATTAAAATTGTAAAAGTTGTCAGAAAAAACATAATTTTGTGTTTAATTGACCATGGATGATGAATCAACATCCCACAGGTCATAAGCATGACCATTTCAACAGAGAGGGTGATCGGTAGCCTTGTGGTTAAAGCGTTTGCTCATTATGCTGGGCATGGGTTCAATTCCCCACATGGGTACAATGTGTGAAGCTCATTTCTGGTGTCCTCTGCTGTGATATTACTAAAAGTGGTGTAAATTCAAACTCACTCACTTTTAACAGAGGTTAGTCAAAGATGAAACTTTTTACCGCAATCATCAGTAGCTATGAATCCAATAATCAATAACCAATTAAGGCTAGAACTACCACACAGACCTGCATGTATTTCAAATGTATTTAAACAAACTTTTTACATACCTGAAGCAATTACAAATCCTCGTTACCAAACCAGGTAGTCCAATAATAAGAGACACCTGACCAAGTATATCCAGTGTGTACTCCAAGCTACTCCGATGTGCTCCGTCGTCAGGTGCTACACAGACAGCATGAGAGTAGAAGCCTGTAGCAGTATCCTGTATCCTTTACACTGTTAGGCTCATCATCAGCTTGTGTTAATCTGCCTTGGGGGGCGAAGGAGGAGAGAGAGAGAGAAAGCGTGCTGTCGGAGGGCTCCTGTCGTGCGGGCAGCCCACCACAATGTGCTAGAGTCTCCGACTGTCAGTCAGACCTCAATCAACTCAGTCTGGCCAATCGGGGAGCGGTTCAAGTCCCATCATTGTCTGTGAATGGGAGGACAAAAACAGATTTACTATGCAGTGGTTGTAGTAGAGGTGGTGATGTTATGACAAATGTCTGTTAGCATGAGTGGGATCAGGTTATGTAATGTGTAGAAGAGGAGGCACATTACACTTGTACTAGTACTCTACAGAAGGACGATGCTGACTGCTGCTGGTGCTGTATTGACTGTTAGTGAGCTGGAAACAAACTAGCTTGCTGCACTGGTCACCATTACAAGGCTCTGGATTCTGTCAACATTCTCCTGATATTTTTAGCTGATATGTGAAACACTCCAGATCTTATTAATATCTTATACATGATGGCACACCTAGATTTTGATTTTAAATGAAGACAGAGTTGATGAAGAGATTCCACCCTTTCTTTCCTATGTCATAGTACATTTGTTAATGTTTTTATCAAGCCTGTACCAAAACACTGCATTGAAGGTAAAGAAGTTGAAATATACAGACCAGCTCCATCTTCATTGATAGCATTACACTTCTAAACTGCCATGCAACTTGAGTTTACTGGCTTTTTTCAGAATGGATCTGTGGCTCTTGTCTGTCTCACAGTCCCTGAACTGCATTATTTCCCCAACTGCCTAGCCCTCCCTGCAATGCTCAAGCCCTAAATTAATCAAGTCTAGATTTCCTCAGGTCATGAAGTTCCCATCTCACTGGGGCTCCTTTTCAATCTAAATGGGGTTATTTGTTACTATTATACACATTCAGAGACTAAGTGTAAGTCTACTGTGGTTCGTACAGACCCTGAAGCATCTGACACAATCCATTTCTCATCCTCATCCTTTTCTCAGTTGTAGCATTCCACTGTCTGTTCAATGCTAAACATTAAGAGACCCATGGTGTTTTATAAAAGGTGTTTTAAAAACCTGAAACTCAACTGTTTTGTAACAAATTTGTTTTATGATTAGTCTAAGCATGTATTAGGACCCGTTTCACAGTTAGTGAGTGAGTGAGTATGCTTTTATGAGTCTTTCAGCAATATTCCAGCAATATCATGGCTGGGAAAACCAGAAATAGGCTTCACACATTGTACCCATGTGGGAAATAGAACCAAGGTGACGAGCAAACGCTTTAACCACTAACCTACCCCACTGCCCACTCCTAAAACAGGATACATTTTGGTCATGAAATTGGTAATATGAACAAATAGAGTGAATGATCCCGTCAATCAGGTGGGAGTTACTCATGTAATATCTCAGTATGTCAGCTTGATGTGTAATGAAAGGCCTAAGTCATCAAGTTTTGTTACATCATCTAATACTTTAGATAGGACAGACAGACAGACAATTTAAGTCTCACCAAGGGTACACAATATATACATATGATGTGAGTTTAACAAGAGTAAAAGTACCTTAGCCATTATTTATAGAATTATGAGAGACTGTAGGAGATAATGCATGCTGACAAACCTTGCAACAAGAACAGGGCATGCTAGGATTCAAACCACCATCATAGATATCGGGAGTGTCAAGGGGTGTAACTCCGCACAGCAAATCCCAGTGCCTTTGATGACTGGGCACAACAAATAGAGTGAGTGAGTATGGTTTTACGCAACTTTTAGCATTATTCCAGTAATATCACGGCGGGGGACACCAGAAATGGGCTTCACACATTGTACCCATGTGAGGAGTTGAACCCGGGTCTTCAGTGTGATGAGCCACTGCTTTGACCACTAGGCTACCCCACCGCCTGCAAACAAGTAGAACCTGACATGAAACGGTGACACAAACCAGGATACTGCTCCATAACAGTTAGTCTGTCAGTTAGTGTGAGATCCGACTGAAAAATGACCGCAAGGCTTTGAGTAAGGAGTTTACGATATGGCCAAGATCCGATGATTGAGAAGCTACACTGTGACTGAGGGTTTCGAGTATTGTACGTAGGATCTGGCTGGGTGGACTTGCAGACGAGAGACTTGGCTTATACCCAGGGGTGTACGTAATATATTTTCTCTCATCTGGCTCAGACAATAGGACTATGTGTTAGCTGTGTACAAGACAGGTGAATTCCCTCCAGAATGCGAGCTGGATGCTAGTACATTACCAGCATGCATTGATGAGTGAGCTGTGTTTTGTTGTGTATCTACGCAGGTAGTGTCTACATTCCATAGATAGTGCAGTACTCAAGTCATGTTGGTAATCTGAGTCAAGACAGAGAGTGCCACATGGCGGAGAAAGATTGTGATCATCATATGCCAACATAAGTCTTCTGGAACAGTGTTGGGGATGATAAGGTATCAAGTGGTTATGTCATCCTGCATCTGCTACAGCCACATCTTGTTGTTCTTGTGTTCATTGTCATCTGTTGTTGACACTGACAAGACGAAGGAGTTTACAGTTAGAGATAGATGCTGATTTCTTACAAAACACAAGGGTTACTGTCTCACAGAACTAGTTACTCAGTGTCCAGACTGACACTTGGAGGGATCTTGTTGGGTGGACATGCATCTGAAAAATGGCTCATACCTAGGCATTTAAATATCCCTAGTTTTATGACTATATAAAATTAGATGTTTTGTTTGTATGTTGTTTACGCAGCAGTATTCCAGCTTAGTCCAAACGTAATTGAGTCTGTACCAGACAATCCAGTAATTAAACTAACATATAGTCTCTGAAATGAACATACTTTACAGAAAACTGTTCCTAAATTATAATCATAATAATAATGAAGGGGAGCCCAGAGACTTTCTTCATTTTCAGAAACTGTAGTAATCTGGACTTGACACATATTCTAGACTTGCACGGGCTCTCTTGGATATATTTGGTTCATGGTCTGCATGACAGACGATCCGGTAATCAACAGCACAAACATTGAACTATGCAACTGGAATACAATGACTTGTGTCAACCAAGTCAGAGCATGGCACCCGATCACATAACTTACCTCTTACAATAAGCATGGGTCGCTGAAGACAAATTGTAAGGTGATGTGGGGTAGCCTAGTGGTTAAAGCATTTGCTTGTCATGCTGAGGGCCCATGTTCGATTCCCCACATGGTTACAATGTGTGAAGCCCATTTCTAGTGCTGCCCAACATGATATTGTTGGAACATTGCTAAATGCAGAGTAAAACCATACTCACTCACTCACTCATTCCCTAAGGTGATGTAGCATCAGGACGGTGACAGCAGAGAGCTGGGTAGGTGATGTAGCTCTAGAACCAGGATAGTGGCAAGTCAGACAGGTGACGTAGCATCACACCAAGGTCAGCTTTACAAGTCTACTCAAATAGTAACCTGAGTGATGAGGACGGTGTGTGGGCAAGACCTTACCCAGGTATATTGGATTAAATCACCCCCGAGACTGTGGTCACCGTAAAGTTCTCAATTACAAGGCTGCTGAAGTCTTAGACTGATGAACTTACAACGTGTAGGAGTTCGGCAGGTGTTTCTACTGCTCAGTGTGGACGTCATTAGCTTGATTGGGCAGACTACACCTAACATAACATTGCATTAGGAGTCAGGACTCTCAGGGAATAGACCTGGCCATGCTCATTGATTTTGTCTTCAATACCAGCCTCATTAACTTCAACGAAGAAAAATATCATGCTTGAATTGTCTTGGGTTCAGATACATTTTTTGGTTTCAGACAAAAATTATTTCAATTTTTATCAACACATCAATCATCATCACAGGAGAGTGTCCATGTCAGTCGTATTTATGGCAGTACAAAACAGTTATAAAGTCACAAAAGTCATGGAATCATTATTAGTTCATGTAATATTGAATGTTCCATATTTCATGTTAATATAATATTTGAACAAAATAGCTACAATAAAATTTTATGAGACTTTTATTCCACCTGCCACAATACCACACATCCAGCTCATTACTCAACATAACGGCGTTGTCCCAAAGCACCTTTGAAAACTCCTGCTACTTGTATAATCATTGCTTGATTACACAATTAAATACTTGGCCCTACTAAACATTCGGGGTGGGGGTGGGTAGGTGGGGGTTTAGCTTAGTGGTTAAAGTGCCTGATTGTGACGGCAAAGACCTTTGTTCGAATCCACATGTGTGAAGCCCATTTCTCGTGTCCTGCCGTGATATTGCTTGAATATTGATAAAAGCAGCATAAAACTCACTCACTTGCTCTCTCACAACTGACAATCATGATCTTTGTGAATCACATCCATCAACAGTGAATGTACACAGATTCTTTGTACTGTTCAAAATAAATACGGACAAAATGCTTCCAACCTCACAATTGTAAGATATTTTGATAAAAATGAAATACTTTAATTATTCAGGAACTCATGTTCAGTTGCATGTAGACTCACAAGAAAACCACCCAAACATTAATAACATGAATAAAGATACATCCAACATTAGGAAATATACCACACAAAGGCATGCATGTATTGAAAAACTGTATGTCACAGTTACTAAGCCACAGGTTGCAGCACAGGAGACAGGAGAAATTATTCTATTTATAATGAGTATGGCTTCAAGCTAATTTAGCAATAGTCAATAATCCCTTTGCATCTCATAACTACAAGAAGAATCGAAATAAGACAAGGGTGTCTTTCACATGACAAGCAACAACTACCCACTAGGCTATACCATCAATCCTGTTCTCAGACTGAAGCATTTAAGATCGCTAATTGCTGATAATGTTTTCAGTGATAATTGTTGTATTGTTTTGACTATTTTATGCTCTTCATGATAGGTAATTAATAATAACTAATTATCATACACACACCATTCTCCAGGTAATTTATTACCTGAATATTATGATGTATGAAAAACTATGAAAACATCCCAAACAACAAATTTCACATACAAAGTATATTAACAGTAATAATGTACAAGAATACAGCCAGTACTTGGGGAATCAAAATTAGGTGTTATTTCCGTTATCGTAAGTCTGTGTGAATCTGGTTACATGTAGTGATTTGTACATGCTGTTGCACAATTATGACTTTTCCAGCCTCCCCAGACAGAAGAGCTGCATCAAACATCCCACCATCGTATATCAAAGCAACGATATACTTCAACTGTCCGTAGTGCAGAGTGGGGACTGGCAACAGGCACGCTGAATGACTCGTGGCAATG